CATTTCCAGGATATAGACCTAACTTATGTTTTTTTTTAAATAAATAAGATACCAAAATAATTATGTATATGATATTTTTCACAGTGTTCAATATATTACATATTTATTACTGTGAAAGATCACTCTAGTTCAGTTGTTTTAAATAATATTTTTTTAAATAATTATTTTTCTATAGCTGTATGAAAAGTAAAATATTAAATAAACCAGGTGAGTGCTTTTAATTAAGTATACAATTTTTAATAAACATTTTATATTTTAGTTCTCCATTTTCAAATTTGGTATTAATGTTCTAAAGCCATATATCGAGAGAACAGTTTTCTTTTCAACTTTTATTAATTTTATGTGGCTGAAGATTGAATTAGAATTTGAAATGCAAATTCAATAGTACAGTGGATCAGTTAAATACTGAACACAAATGTAAATGTATACAGGGTGACCCAGAATAACGCGTACAACGGAAGAACACAGATTCGTGGACTCAAAATATGCAGATTTAGGATAATTCACCTATATCCGAAATCGCTTCGTTTGGCCGCTAGATGGCCTCAAATTTTTTGAATTTTGTAAATAACTCGAATACATATTATTCGATTTTGATTATTTTTGAAGTGTGGACTTTTGATTTCAATCTATACATTTCAGTGTTATACAGAGTGTTTTTAAGACTTGCAACTCCTACAAAATTGATGTATGGTGATAATACCCATTCGTAACTTTTTCCTCTTTCGGATAATAATGACAACTGTTTTTTATTTGATAGGTGATGCCATTTGGAAGTTTTTGGGCCTTTTGTAGAATTTTAATTGAATGAGCGGTTTGGGTACAAAAAAATATTTTTGAAATGTGTACATTATCTTGTCACCCATCTTGGATACCTATATGTATTTTAATATTATGAAAATAACGCAGAAAGTCTCAAGGTACGTCCCTGCCGCGGAATATTGTTACAGTCCCAATAACAGAATTTTATTGGTTTATTCGTTTCTTGGAATTCCGTCTCAACAAATATTGTACGGACTGTATTTAGACGAGCCGGCGAAGCAAGAAGAGCGCCAGAAGAAAGGGCCCTAGCCGGCGGGGCCCAGCCAGGACAAAAGGAGGTCCCACAAAGCGCCTACACCGGCCGNATACTAATAATAATAATAATAATGATAATAATAATAATAATAATAGTAATAATAATAATAAAAATAATACATTAATTGTAGCATTTCCAGGATATAGACCTAACTTGTTTTTTTTTTAAATAAATATGATACAAACATAATTATATATATGATATTTTTCATAGTGTTCAATATATTACATATTTATTACTATGAAAGATCACTATCTAGTTCATTTGTTTTAATGTATATTTTTTTAAATAATTATTTTTCTATAGCTGTATGAAAAGTAAAATATTAAATAAACCAGGCGAGTGTTTTTAATTAAGTATACAATTTTTAATAAACATTTTATATTTTAGTTCTCCATTTTCAAATTTGGTATTAATGTTCTAAAGCCATATATCGAGAGAACAGTTTTCTTTTCAACTTTTACTAATTTTATGTGGCTGAAGATTGAATCAGAATTTGAAATGAAAATTCAATATTACAGTGGATCAGTTAAATAGTGAACACAAATGTATATGTATACAGGGTGTCCCAGAATAACGCGTAAAACGGAAGAACACAGATTCGTGGACTCAAAATAGGCACATTTAGGATAATTCACCTATATCCGAAATCGCTTCGTTTGGCCGCTAGATGGCCCAAATTTTTTGAATTTTGTAAATAACAAATACATATTCGATTTTGATTATTTTTGAAGTGTGGACTTTTGATTTCAATCTACACATTTCAGTGTTATACAGAGTGTTTTTAAGACTTGCAACTCCTACAAAATTGATATATGGTGATAATACCCATTCATAACTTTTTCCTCATTCGGACAATAATGACAACTTTATTTGATAGGTGATGCCATTTGGAAGTTTTTCGGCCTCCTGTAGAATTTTAATTGAATGAGCGGTTTGGGTACAAAAAAATATTTTTTAGATGTGTACATTATATCTTGTCACCTATATTGCAATACTTAACAAAGTGCTAGTAGGCTGTGATTTTGTAGGTTGACTGTAATTTCAGTTTGTTCTTTAAGTCATTGTCAATTATACTTTATATATATTTATCTTGGATACCTATGTATTTTAATATTCTGAAAATAACGCAGAAAGTCTCAAGGTACGCCCCTGCCGCGGAATATTGTTACAGTCCCAATAACATAATTTTATTGGTTTATTCCTTTCTTGGAATTCCATCTCAACAAACATTGTACGGACTGTATTTAGACGAGCCGGCGAAGCAAGAAGAGCGCCAGAAGAAAGGGCCCTAGCCGGCGGGGCCCAGCCAGGACAAAAGGAGGTCCCACAAAGCGCCTACACCGGCCGCATTTGCGGTCGGGGTAGACTACGGATGGGGCCCACCTACGAAGGCTGTCCAGGCCTACACGAGATGAGGCAGGATAAAGAGGGATAATCCCCCTCGATCCCAAATCATTGAGGCCAATTTCTAGCCATGGAATAATGGCGCGGACTGTATTTGTATTTTTATACTGGTAAGGTTTTTTTATTATCTAAATATTTGTTAGATAAAAACATGCTGTACAAATAATAATTGTAGTAATCATTACTCAACTATCTACATATGTATAAATATCATTTACTTTTGTGAGTTTTACAGTAAAAAAATATGGGAAAATGTCCTCTATAACTTTCTCAAACAATTTCTTATTACAGTCTTGACTACCGGTTACAATGGTTGCATACGCATCCATCGGCCTTTGCGAGGTCAACCGGCTTAACGTATACCCAGACAATCCAGACATTGTCACATGACCCTTTTATAACACTGCATTTGCCACTGATTATTGGGGCGGGCTGAGGTTCCAAATCTCAGAGCGCATGATCAACTCTGAGCGTAACATTTAGTTTTTATTATATTATTCGCAAACATAATTCTATATTTATAATTTATGCCCCAAATCTTGAATATATTTATATACATATATGTAATATTCTGTTTGTGAACATGAATCTCCTTTGTGATCTTTTTAAATGCCCCATGTATTATATAATAGAGCCTGGTGGTGCCACGAAATTGTGCTGAGCCTTGAATTTTAGGTGCTAAAAAAAATTATTGATAAATAACAGTTTTAAAAAATTACAACTGCTGCGAATTAAAACACTGAGTCTTCATATGTTATTACAAGGGTTTTTACATATTTGGTTTATAATATCTATAAGCAAGTTTCTATTTGATTTATAATATAACTTTTAATATGTTTTTGCACTTCTGATTTATTAATATTGGAGCAATAATTTAAAATTTGTTTCTTTTTCTTTATCAAATCCGGAAAAAATAAAAGTAGTGAAATATGAATTTTAAAATCTTTTTTTAAAACTATTTCAAGTTTTAGAGACATATCTGCCCGTAAGCCGCACGATTTACACCAGTTACCTACATTGTCGTTTTTTCAAATATTTGTCCCAAAACGTTTGTCAGTTAATTAGTTTCTAATTACCCCATTGCACGCCGCACACTGCACGCTCATGAGCATCGGCACTACCGGCACCATGAGTTGTACAATGAGGTGTTGCCAAATTGTGAAATGTACGGTACTTTCAGAAGGCAATAACTATTGATTTATATCACTTAATACTTAAGTAATTAATTGTCTGAAAATTCTTATAATTAAACCAATGAATTAAAAGCTATCAAAATGAATATTTACAAGTCTACATGAAGGATTAAAGCAATTGAACTGTTCTCTGGAAAATAATATATGTAAAGAGATATGATATCCGCATAACGATATCAGAAAATGGGATTAAAAGATTAAATGACACTTAGGTGTATTGTATTCTTTCACGACATAATTTTACAAATGATCTCGTTCCTGTAATTTTATAATACGATATGTTAATGCACATAATATATGACTGTATATACCTACATATAGAAAGAGAGTCGGCGAATATTATGTATGGCGCTGGCTTTACGGTGCAGTCAGATCTATTTTCCAATTTTTTCGGTGTGAAACGTTTCCTATAGAATAAGTTTATGATTTCCGAACATAAACTTTTGGGCCAAATAGGAATCCTGACCGGCCACACATAAGGCCTACCTGAAAGTATATACTTTTCAATGATTGTGGATATGTAACAGTACCTATAGTGGTCGAGTTGAACGAATTACTCAGCTCTTGGTAGGTATCTTTTTAGAAGAAAGGCAAAAGATTTTTTCATTAGAAATTTTACTTTAACGAGGAATCAGAATAGTAAATGAATCCTATATACGTGCTCAAAAGTATCAACGATTCCTATAAAAATATAAGTTTATATTTCTAAAAAAAAAAAACATTTGCACCTATCTAGTTTAAAGAAAATAACAATTTTTTATTTTATACGTATCAGCGTAATTTTTATGCGTCTTCACAGGATTATTCAAAATTTTTTCCCTTCCATTTTCCAAGAAATTATACCAGGAAAATGTTGCATTTTTGCCCTTATCTTTATTAGAAGGATCACTTCTTGAAGATTTGGTGTGACTGTTACGTTATTCAAGGAATCACTCAATTAGTCAAATCACGTCTTTAAAGACGATTATTAAATGGAAATTTCGAGACTTATCTTATATAAGTACATGACTTGCTTTGCATTGAATGGGTTTAAAATTATATTAGGTCAGTAGCGGTTCATCAGGTGACGCAAGTGACGCACCGCTTCACCTAAAATTTCCGTTTGGTTGTGCAATTTAAAATTACATATTTTTAATTTTATATAAATTTTATAATTTAGGTATAATTCTATATTGTGTTTGTTTGTTTAAATGAAAAGAATAGTTGCGTGGTGAACGCCTTCTAAAAAGACATTGCCTTCGTTGAGCGCGAACATCAACCTCGGACCATACAACGTATAGTATACGCAAGTGACGCAGATTGAAACAGTCTGTATTCTGTTCTGCTTCTCATTGTAGCGTTGTTTACGGCGGTTGTCATGAAAACGAGGCAGCCAATACGTGATTAAACTACGGCATGGGGGAACGAGTGACGCAGAAATTGAAGCAGGTTCTTTATTAATAATTGTAGAAATGTTTCCTATGTATGATCCAGCATGTATTTTATTGGAAACGCCATTTTCCAAATGGAAAATTGACGGCAAAAACGATTTTTTAAATTGCGAGAGACTTGTGCCTTATTCTCTCGATATGGAAAAAAGGGAAGGCAAAAGACAACGTGTACTTTCGAAAGTTTCGGAATGAATGGTATTCGGAGTTCGGAGTATAAGTGGATGTGTGTTGTATGGCAGTGTTCATTTAAAAAAACTTTTCTGTATGCCGTGTTTAATTGTGGGTGTAAAGTAGAAGAACAATTTTGGGAACGTCACGCGAGGTCGTAACCACAAAGCTTCTTTTGGATCATACATGTACGGTGTGCGTTAATGTTCGCAGAAGTCCACAAGCCGAACTAATATTTATATTTTTTATAAAATCTAAATGAAAGTCCTTCTCACGAACGTCAGTTTTTCGGTAATATTGCAAATGCAACTAAAAATTTCCGAATTCACTTCAAACCGTTGGACCTTGAAAATTTGAAAATTTTCGCCAGTGACGCTTTTTTTTTCTTTTTTGTCAATGAATGCGCTTCACCTATTCTCAATGTCACGAGCCGCCACTGTATTAGGTATACATATATTTATATTATAATATTATTTAATATTACAGACACACTTTGGAAACCACTGTTCTAGACAATTTTCACAAATGACATATTGCGGAAAGAACGAAGTGTTATTGTTGTCACTAATATCAATGTTTAAAGAGTACTTAAACAAAGTTATTAGCAATACGGTTTTTAAAAATTACAGGAATCTAACTACAAAACTTGGCAACGCCGGAATGAGTAGTAGAGAAGAGGTAGTATTTAATCAGTTTCACTTTTATTTACATTCACTTCAAGTTGGTGTTTAGTTGGAGTTTGCGTTCAGTTTACATTTACTGCAGTTTTAAATTTTACCGGTGAAGGTCTTTGAAGTTGTGAAGTTTTAATAGACGAGTAAGTATATTATTAATTTTTAGGTTAATTTAAAAATTCTTACTTTAAAGCACGTTACATTTTTATGAACTTAATATTCCGTTTTATCTGTAGGTAGGTATATGTGAAGGAATTTCAGAAAAAAGTAAAATTTATATTTTGATAAAAAACAGATAAAATATTACCTAACCAATTTTTGAAATATTTGTTTGAAACGTTTATATCCGTTTTGTGGATTTTAGTTACTCAATTTAAGTAACAGAAACCACATGCTACAGAGGGACATTATAATAAAAAAAATGTGATTGGTAACTAACTCTGAGCTTTAACGAACTATCAACGATCAGTAAAGGAACAACGTAATCTGTTAACAGTGTAAATTGTATTTTAATTAATTATACCTAAATGTTGTGTAGAGTGTAGCAGATAACTGCAAACTACATGTATTTTACACATAAGTAAGTCCCTATTTAATTTACACCTACGCGTTGAAACAAAATTGCGGAAATAGGCACAGTTTATTAGTTATAATTGAATATCCTGTGGTTTCATTTTTTGTTTTAATTCATGTGATGTATCACAGCTTCTTGCTCATGTACAGGGTCGGAAAGTCCCCATGGTTCATCGGCCGTTACGTGAGAGCGATAAAGTCATAGAAATCCGTGCGATCGAGAAAGATGGCTATAATAAACGCGTCTAATAGTCACCGCCCATTTCGTCCTTCCACAAATAAGATCCACTTCTTATTTGCGGAAGGGCGAAATGGGCGGTGACTATTAGACGCCTTCATTATAGCCATCTTTCTCTATCGCACGGATTTCTATGACTTATTTTATCGCTCTTACGTAACGGCCGATGAACCATGGGGACTTTCCGACCCGTATGTACATATTCTGTAACTATTTCAGTTTTTATAAGGTACCTAAATAATGGCCAAATTGATATTTTGGATTTATCTGGAGATCTAAATAAAGTGTTACCCACTTGCATTACTTAGCTAGCTATATCACCGCACCTTTATGGCAATATAGTTCATACTTTATATTATATCAAATAGAGATTTTCGTTGGCAATTTATATGATAATACACCTACCTCCTTAGGTATTTATCATATCAAGTTAGACGAACATATAAACCATTTTCATTAAATCTATGAAGGTATTTCGGCGTAACTAGGTATTAGATTTAATATTATCTTATTTATGTGGAGAAGTAGTTTCTTCTATAGTCAGTGCAATTCCACTTTCTTATTTCCACAGTCCTCAATGTTTACCTACGGCCATATATACTTAATTCCGGTTCCAATTTCAATGTAAACCAATCTAAACATTAACACATATGTGTGCCGTTGGAATTCAATGAATCGTATAGACATAGACCGTTAGTTACGGTTCCTGTGTTTGGTTAAATCAGAAAATATTGGAAACAATAGAATTTCGTTCCAAGTCTTAATATGGTCTATACCAGGGGTCGGCAAGTAATTTTAGGTGGGGTCCGGATACTTTTGAAAATTTTTAACGAAGTCCACAAAAAACTCACATACCTTACTAATTTTTTATTTTAATTTGCACTCACAAATTTAATCTACCTACTAACCATTAAGTACTCAAATAAACCACGCAATTATAGTAGAAATGATAAGGGTGGCACTCAAACGTATCAAACGTATCAATAGAAAACTATTTAAATAATTTAATTGAGTAATTTATACTTTCAAAAAATTTTTGGGAGTCCATTATTTTACCTTCCGCGGTCCAGCTCCGGACCGCGGAAGGTAAAATACTGGACCGCCAAAAATTTTTTGAAAGTATAAATTACTCAAATAAATTATTTAAAATTTTTTTTTACGTTTAAGTGCCAATCTTATAATTTTTTCTAGTATTTTACAATTGTGTAAGTGTGTGAGTTCTTAATGGTTAGTAAGCAGATTAAATTTGAGTTCGAATTAAAATAAAAAAATAAGAAATATGAATTCTTTTTCTGGGCCTCGTTAAAAATTTTCAAAAGTATTCGGACCCCACCTAAAATTACTTGCCGACCCCTGGTCTATACGATGGTGAGTACTCGGACTCGGGTCAGAATGATGGATTTATATTACTGCTTTTTTTAATTCTAAAAAAAAGTCACTCCTACTGATGGATTGTAACTAAAAATGAGAATATAAAATAGATGTAATAAATTATACTTTAAATTAAAAATTTTTCAGAAATATTTGGTCCATGCCTCATTTAGTAGAATCAGAAATTAATTCAAATCTTAATTTTCTAATACACTCCATAAGAAAAATCTGAGGGGTCATTTACTAAAAAAAGGGATGTTATTCGTCTTGCCAAATACGATATGTATTATTCTATTTATTTTTTAAGTTCTCCGATTTTTTCTTGAATATTCCCTAATTTATTTAACAAATTATTAAAAAATAGCAGTTCGGTTCATATACCAATACCTTTTTTTTTCGAATTTAGCGTATACAAGGCAAATGGTCTGCTAAATGATATGCTTAGTTAGGTGCTATACCTACTTACTGGAAATTTATTTATTTTAATTGAATTGAGTGTTTTTGGAAATATTTTTGTTTAAACATTAGGTATTACATTTTAATTGATAATTAGATAAAAAATAAAATGCATCGAAAAATCATTGATAACAACGTTACTATAACATCTATAACATAAATTCGATATTTTTTTGTAATTTATTATATACTTGTCCTATGGAGCTATGGAATTTAAAATTTATTATAAAAAATAATAAATACCTACAATAAAGAAGCATAGTAGGTACTGACCAAACTTAATAGAATTCATGATTCTTGTCTGAAGTTTTTTGGTCAAAAGGCCGCCGAAAAAACTAGTATTTGAGTAAAATTCAAATGTATTCAAATGATCATTATATAAGAGCCACTTCTTATTTGTGGAAGGGCGAAATGCGCGTTGACTATTAGACGTCTTCATTATAGCCATCCTTGTCTATCACATGGATTTCTATGGCTTACTTTATCGCTCTCACGTAACTTCTGATAGACCATCGGTACTTTCCTACACTGTATATTCTAGTATTAGATAGGTACAATTTCACCAGGGGCGTGGGTACAGGCTTCCATTAAAATAAAGTAAAAAAAAAAATATGAATTATGCCAATGACTTTTCTTGGTTAAATTGTAGTTTTTACCCATATTTTCAAGTATTTTAAGGTATCTATATCTATACAATGTTTTTAAAATACTTACACATTATTTGGAAACTAGAAAAATTCTCTTTTTTTCTAGAGCCTGTAGGTAGTCAATTATGATTTTCATTTAAAAAAGTGTAATTTTGTAATAGATATTATGTTGAATTTAATAATCTTCTGCTACTTTTTTGACTCACAACAGACATCCTTAAGCCAGTGCGACATTATCTTATGTTACTTTATATGCATAATCCTTAATCATTCAAGGATTTAACAAATACAGGAATGGATATAATTTTGATAGATTTACACTTCTTGCAACATAAGTTAGAAAAATAAGTATGTTGATTTAGTAGGTACTTTGTGTGGATGTAAGTAATTCAAAATAAAAAAATGTTTTGATATAAAAAATCAGTTTATTTATTTTCCAATAAGTAATTAAAAATCACATAGTTATTTAATTAAAAGTTTTGTATTTATAGTTTTTTATTACAAAAGTTCAGGATTTCTAATTATAAAGTTTGGCCAAAATTATACTTATTGTAGTCTCTAGAACAGGGGTCGGCAAGTAATTTTAGGTGGAGTCCGGATACTTTTGAAAATTTTTAACGAGGTTCAGAAAAAAATTCACATTTCTTATTTTTTATTTTAATTTGGGACTCAAATTTAATCTGCTTACTAACCATTAAGAACTCAAAACACACAATTGTAAAATACTAGAAAAAATAATAAGATTGGCACTTAAACGTAAAAAACATTTTTTAAATAATTTATTTGAGCAATTTATACTTTAAAAAAATTTTTGGCGGTCCAGTATTTTACCTTCCGCGGTCCGCCAGTTGCCGACTCTTGCTCTAGATTGCTGTTACCAAATTTTTAAAGTGATATTAAGAATAATGTGAACATTAGTGATTTAAGAGCTAAACTGAACGTATTAAATTTTTTTATAGGTATTTTGAAGTTTTTGTACATACATAATCAAGTACATTTATTTATAAATTAATTCCTTATGTACACATTTTATGGCTTTACGTATAATTTAACAGTGTAGCTACATAACATACTACTTATTTAGAAAGTACTTGCTTTTACCCATCCATTTGCGTGCGGAGAAATGACCTTTTTTAAGACAAGAATGAGACGAATTTTAAACATTTTTATTGCGAAGTTTCAGTTGCGAGAAACCATCATCAACTTTCTTTTTTCTTATGGGCGCCATATAGAATTAAGTTGAGCATAGCATTTTTTTTTTTGGTTTTCAGTGATATAATGTAAGTAAGAAAAAATTTCAAAAACAACCTCAAAAATCAATATTTTAATATTTTGTCATTTTTAACTATTGTAAATCATAGAGTTAATTGTTAACAGTTAGTGACACTTGTTTTAAAATCGTTAAAACAATTTTGCGTTATTCCAATGAAGGAAAATGTGATATGTTAGAGTGCTATATTAAAAATGCTTTATAGAAATGCAAGTATATTTCACTACTAATTTAATTTAAAAATTAAGACTTTACAAGCAGCAAATCAGGCCTCTTAGAGAGACTAATCCTCAACTTGTGCCTACTCTTAAATACAGTTCTGCTTTTAACTAATCTGAAAGAACATAATAAAAAATTAAAATAAATGAAAAAACCCCTCGTTAATGTCAGTTGATATCTTTCTCTTCATAAGTGAGTCACTAAAAATTAGTCATTCGAAACCGATTTGTGGAAATTATTTAAGGAGTGTTATTGCAAATTGCAACAAATCCACAATAGATTATTTTTGAGATTCTGATACCCGAGATTAAATACTATGTAATTTTTAGCAGAAGTCAGTCACTTTTCGAAACTTCTAAAACTTACATTTTGCTACAGAACACAATAGTTCTTTTGTGGCTTTTTTTACAGTTTTATTAAATAGAATTAAATAATCCAGCCGAGTTTAATAAATACAATATTACACACGACAACTGTTTGTTGTTGCATGTCGTATCGACACTTTTGTAACCTCCTTGAGGTTAGTGCAGATTATACGAGGAATAACCCGCTATTCATATTCAATATATTTTTTTGTCTAATACTTTTTACGTTACTTTTGTTCATTCAATTATATGCATGTTTGAGTGGAGTTGAACAAATCAACAACTACAAACCTGTGATTTAGACATACGTAAACTGTCAGAACATTTTTTAATCTTATTTTTTTATATAGTTATCCATATTTTTGAGAAATAAAATATTCAGTTTTAGTGTTCAAATATAATGTTTTCTGTAAACTGTAAACATTGAGTAAATGAATTTGTTGTGTTTTGGAATAACATTCGTCGTTTTATCTAGAAGCAGTTTCGGAATAATTTTAAGAAGCATACTTTAATTAAATTGTATTCTACTGGACAAATTTCAAGTAAAAATTGGTGTCGGGCCAGTTAATTTTTTTCATTGCTTAAAACAAAAAAAAACTAAGAAATATCAAATAAGTACAATTAACTTTTCAATTCAAATCAAGGCGTTTAATGCTTTATAGATTAATTTCTTATCATCGAATATTGTCAAAACTAAATTTAAAAACTGTCAAAACTAATTTTAAAACAGAACTTCATTATCCGTTCTGAAAATGAAAATGGATTGATTTTCGAAATGACAACAATGTATTGAAGTGTTTTACATAGTGATTATTTTTATTTGTCTGCATTTTCAGTGCAAGATTTTTTGTTAGGTTTTATAAAAATAACCCTTAACTGATCCTTTAGGTGCAAGGGTTTAGTTTCGACATTAATTTTTCACAGGTGACTAAAATACTCAAGTGCAGAAAAAACTAAAACTAAGTCCCAAATACGTGCAGATAATACAAATAAATTTTCTGTTTCCATGTTGGTTGATCAGAACCACTACAGCAAATTCCTGCTTGTTGGTTATCAGTTATTAAGAACTGTTTAAATATTATATCAACAAATATTTATACTTGTCAAATTGCAATAATTTTATTAGGTATGATTACTAAGATATCGACTAAAAAGTTTATAAGGTTTTTTTTTGTAACAAGAATTGAATTGATAAATGATTTTTACTTTATATAATAAAAATATATATATTTATGTATTTAAACTTGTCCTTGTTACGTTAATATATTAAACACTTTGTACCTATTAAATTTATTTTTAAAAGTCTGGAAATCATGCGGAAGGTTCACTTTATTAATTTTAAATATAAATTAATTTTTATACTGTTTTTACGTATTGAAAATTATTAACAATAAAATGTGTAAGTTTAGAGACTATAAAATATTCATAGATAAAAGTAATAAGTAATAAATATGTCAGTAATTGTCTTCGCTAAATTATCGTTAGAAGTGGCCGTTTACTAGTTTGTCTTATCCCTAGAGTGTCCAAAGTTATATGAAAATATAAGAGGTATTTTTTTAACCTTAAAATTGATAAAGTTTGTATTTAAAATATTGATATCCAGTTGAAAAGTAAGAAATGTCAGGTCAGTTTTAATGATTATAATGATATTATTGATTAAAAACTACTTGTTGAGAAAATAAATAAATTCTGGAACTCTATAGTATTGATTATTTGCTGTTAACTTCGCAACTCTAATAATGCAGTACGTAAGTATACTATTAAGGTCAGAAGTATCAAGTACATTCCATAATTTCCCACATTAAGTTTTCATTGCCACTTTGACGTACGTCTGGTAAAATTTACTCGTATATCTATGATAATTTTAACTTTTCCAAAGTCTTACTGATGTAGGAAAAATATTAAGTCATGGAGTGTAGAAAAGCAAACATCAACTGACTCTAATTCTCAATCAGCATATTCATGCAATTTTTTATTTTTTACTTTTTTCTATTTTTTTGTCAGTTTAAAGAAAAAATGCAGCACCAATTCCGATTCTTCTGTTGTATGCCTTTTGTGTGTACCATATAAATTTATTTGTGTATTACAACCAAAAAGGACGAAAATTTAAATTTCACTTATTTAAAAGTATGTTACCATGCCATATTATTGTATTTATATTTTTAACTTGTTCATTAATTACTCGTATCTTTCTTTTTCAGGCAAGATGTCCTTAGACGAGGTAAGAACCACTTTCGCAGTTGCTTAAGTAAACCTGTTTTTGTGGGAACTGTGGATGGTACTAATCAACTTATGGGGATATATAAATACATTTCTGATAAATTAAAAACTTTATTTTGCTTTAGACAAGTTAAATTTAATAATAAATCCTTAAAATGCTAGTCCTTGTTTCATGTTTACAAAATTTTACTTACTGGGTTACGTCTTTACTCCCAAAAATGTGAAAGTTAGTAGGTATTACTTTTACAGCATGCACTGTGAAAGTTATTTTTATTACTTTATTTATCATATTTCTGGTTCACTTAAAAATAAGATATGTAGTCGTAATTAAGAAATCATTAATTTGATTGTATGCATATCTGTTGCACTAGAATTGTTGAAAATAATATTTATTAGTAAAGAGTAATTAATTAAGTAGCAGCAACTTTATAACCATATAGAGGGTGTAATAGCGACAAACTTTTTTCTAATTCCTCACATCAAAGTAAATAAGAAAACAAGATTAACGTTTTTTCCTAAAATGATTCCTAAGACCTCTACTTCCATCAGAAATTGGTCAATTACTAAAAAACAATTGAAGATACGGGCTTCAAAATTGTTAGAAACATTGTTGATATTTTAAGTAAGTATTTTGCCACAAATAACCATTAAAATTAAATATGTGATTATTAAAAGTAATAAAATATGGATTAGGTATTCAATTTATATTGAAATTTAGACATATTATGTATATTAGTTAATGGCAAATGAAAAATTTGAGCTTACTTATTAACACACAGATTTTTAATAAATGACCGAAGTGCGAGAATGAGAAGGCATTAAGCTAGTTGAGGTTTTTATTTTTTAAGGGAAAAAATAAAAAATTACTTAATATTCCAGAATACTGGAAACTAATTGAATTGTTTTATCATTAATTAACAGCATTTTGTTAGTCTATGTAAGTACCTACGTAACGCAAGAAACCCTTGACGTACCCCTTAATCACGTACCTCTTTTTAAAGCAAAAACTTATAAAGTAAAATCCTTAAACGAATTCGTTTATACTTTATTGACCACTTTTTATAACTACAACAGAAAAACAAACATCATAATAATAATCTGTCATACTTTTGTTTTTCAAGAGTAACTAAAATTTTCATACGATTAATTATTATTATTTAACACGTCTGGGGGTACGCGTATCCTTGGTTGAATATCATTGGTTTAAGACAGGGGCGTTTTTTATTTTGTTCGTTTTTTACGATGCCGTATAACTTTTTTGTTTGCGAAAACATTTGAATTATGGAAAGAGATTTTCTACACATATTTTTGTGAAGAATCCAGTGGCTCAAGTAATATTTTATAATTTCTGTTTTTTCAGTAATAAGACAAACATAGGTATACATATTTTTTAAGTTGAATACCCTATATATTTTTCCATTTCGCGAAGCAGTTCTGGATAGTTTTATTTCAAATGGCTTTTAAAGTCTGTGACGGAAATAAGAACAAACCGCAAGGAGCTAGGTCTGGCGGGTAAGGAGGGTGAGAGAGGATTAATCTGATTTTTGGCATAAAACTCACGCCACAACTCTGGTCTCTTTTTACGAATTTTTTCACGTAACCATTGTAAAACGTCTTGGTTCACACGGTTCACTGTTTCACCATAAGTCAAGAATTCAAAGTGCACAATTCCATTAAAGTCGAAAAAAAAACAGTGAGCATAACAACTGACATGACTGCTTTAATGGTCATGAAGCTCCTACATCTCCATTAGCGCGTAATTAAAAAAGTTCGTTATTTTCTGAACAGGCCTCGTACACATTGCTTGATATACACAGCGTTTAATGCCTACATTTAGAACGTGTGTAAAAATTGACACAATATATCAGTCAACTAAGATTATAGGAAATGTTTGTGGCTGAGTTTTAGATAAGGCCTTCAAAAGATAATCATTTAATCTTGCACATTGATATTGAAAAACTGCTAAAAAAGAGTTGATAAGATATCGCTAAAAATGGTACCTGTATACAACATTATAATTATTATTTTTTGTTGCGCTTCAGACAGATATCGTACATTTCAAAATATATCTATTATTAATTCTTATCTTAAAAATAAACACTAAAATATTATGAAATGATCTCATTTATATTCTCTACACAAAAATGACTTCTTTTGATAAACCTGTCTGTAAGTTTTCCAAGAAAGCGAAATTTCTTCAATTTTTTTTTGAAACAAATTAAGGAGAAACAGAAAATTCCCAGTAATTATATTGCTAAATCATTGTAAATATATAAGGATTTCAGATGCAGTGGACTTTTTTTTAAATTAAAGAAGACAACTTGGTCATCGCTGACTTATTAATATCACTTGAAAAGTATACCGGGTGGCTCACAGTGAGTGGCCTATTAGATTATTTCAAAACCTACTTCGATTTAAATTTTGAAAATTGGCACATTTTGAGTGTGCTCTTTTCGAATCTAATTTCGTTCCTGTAACACTTCCTGTTATACCATTTCTGTCTATCTAGTTTCTGTGTTATTTGAAGTTATTTAGGTACTCTACTGAAATAGATTAATATTATTATTACGTATCCGAACTTAACTGCAAAGATGACTGCGAAGATTCAAACTTCAAAACAAACGGCAAAGCTATCAACCATTATTTGTCATCAAGAAATTGTTGTACCAGTTTAAAACAAAATGGATAGAAATAATTACACACATGAAATAATCTAATAGGCCACTAACTGTGAGCCACAAGATATATGGAATGAAAGCTTCAGTGAATTTTAAGAAAGTAAAATATCAACTTTATGTTTGGTCTATGAGTAGATGACTATTATAGGTATATACAAATATTATATATTACTTACTTGTAAAAAAAAGAGTCATCGGTACACTATCGACCTATCGTTAAAATTTGCATATTGAAAGATGATTTTTTGAGAATTTTTAGAAGAAAGAACGCCACTCTTTTTCTAAAAGCATTTTTTTGGTTTAAAAATCAAAAAACACTTCAAATAACTAAAAATGTATTATTTTTTTTATAAAAATATGTCTCAAAACGAACAAAATGAAAATAAAGTTGTTTAGTTTTTGTCAAGTATTTGAAAATTTTTTCCCAAAATATTCAAATGCTCATAATTTCTTGAGAGATTAAAATAAAAATTTAAAAAAATTCATGAAAGCTACTTTAAATAGGTACTAAATAATACCAAAAAAATTAAAAAAAAATAAAGAATGTCCGGTCACGATTTCAATGCCCCATATTGTATTCTAGATAGTACCTAAATAGGTAGGTACCTACAAAAAATGACCCTTTACATGGCGCAGAAAGGAGGAAATAATGAATATCTCGATGATTTGCTGATGTCGCAGTTGTAGAACTGACCTTGCTCTGACTGCATTATTCATTGTTATAATAAATTTATAAAAAATGTAGTTCAAGTTTATTGTTCCATCAACTCATCGAGTTACCTACCCCATGGTTACGCCATCCGACGAGAAGCGTTTTATTCGCTAACATTGTTAAAAAACGTTCGCTAATCAAAATTTGCGAACATTGTTCCAATTCTAGAATAACAATAATATTTCGGCATGTTATTTAACATAGATATTCAAATTAAATTGAATAGCCATCTTGTCAATATACCCAAGTGTTAAGCTACTTCAAATTACATAATTCTAAAAATGTTCTTCAATTGTGCCAAAGAAATAACTTCATAGATAATTAATTAAATTACATACTCCATATTTTTTTTTATTGAATATTTTTTTCTCTGTGATAGGTACACGCTGGCGCAGGAAATTTTATTCCGCTGTTTCACCATTTACATTCAAATTCACTCTTTATCATATCATATTATTTATTTATTGCGTTTATATATTCATTATTTAAATATTCCACAGGTAGATGTATTATTTAAATAATTTTATTAGTTTTATTGCTTCATCCTGCATTTCCTTGTCCTATTACACTTTTTTTAACAAAAAAAAACATCTAAAAAGTACACAAAATAGTATCATTTGGAAATTTACCGCCTACAAATGGAACATTGGATTTTGTTAGCAATCACTGTTGTTAGGACGCAAATAAATGGTACGATTTATTGTTAGTAAAACTTTGCTAACATTGTTCGTGAAGACTTAGGGAACAATTAATTAATATTGTTCGCGTCATGCGTCAGTGTGAACGTGAACTCAATTTAATACTTTTAAGCGAATCCAATTCTTAGAAATAGGTATACAGTGTGGAACAGCCAAATGGAATAAATTCAGTATCTCAATTATTGTGCATATTTATAAAAAATCCCGAAACACGTCGATTTTGGATTATGAAATGACATCCTGCAACGTAAAAACTTCATCCCTAAATTCAACCCCCTTCGAATGACAGTTACAATCCTTAAATTTTTAATTGGGAAATAAGGGCTTGTGAAACCTCATTTGAAAGATATTTTCATCCTCTATTCAAAAATATTTAATAATTAATTTTTTTAAATTTAATATTGCAAAAATTAGCAGTAAAAAAAAATAATTTCAACGATGTTCAAAATTAGTTCCTTGAACGCCTTGGCCGCATCTTAATCATAAACAAAAATGTCTTCTAACGTTTTCCAACATCTGAGGCGTGACCGACCGCAACCAATTTTTTTCAATAAAAATAATTTTGATAAGTTTTTGTATCTTCCTTTAAGTTGAAAATGTTGAAAAAGAACACTGAAATTGTTTTTGCTAGCCTGTAAGAACAAAACGCTGTTTTTATATTTTTGTTTATTGTAACAAATTTTGTTAAGCAGACCATTAATTTTTTCAATAAATATTAAAACCATAGCATTGTCGAATAGGCAATGAAAATACCTTTAAAATGAGGTATCACAAGCTCCTGCTTTTCATCTAAAAATTTAGGGGTTGCAACTGCCACTGTAAGAGGGTTGAATTTGGGGATGTAATTTTTACATTGTAAGATGTCATTTCAGAATCCACAATCGACGTGTCTCGGGATTTTTTATAAATGTGT